TCATTACATGATACTGAAGGACTTGGGGCAAAGCTCGTCCTATTGTATGTCAAATAGTTTAAAATTGAGAAGAGTGGGATTTCTTTTTTACGGTGGACAAGGTGGATATTCTGATCTAAAATTAGCCACTGCACCATGTCTAAGCAAAAAGATTGTAATTTTAAAAACTTTTTTCATATTTCTATATTTTTCTATATTTCTACATATTGAGGTTCACCACATCCAATTTTTTAGGATTAAAAAGTTAAAATAGACAGTAAAAAAAAGGGATATTTTCTATGACAGTTTGACAGATCACATTTGATTTCCCCAGCTTTCATTTGAAGGGAAAGTTGTCAAAAAATAACAGTAACGGGTGAATCATGTATAGTAAGAGATGTACAGTATTTATCATGAAATTGGGATACGCAAGCTTGGGGACATAAGAAAAATAGTCATATGTGGTGGTTCAAATGCTGTAAAATGTCTCCAACAATTATTTTCTTTAAACCTACTTCAATATGCTTAGAGTTTAAATGGTGTTGATTTGTTTGACTAAGAGAGCTTTATAATGGCTATTGTTCAAAAGTTTAATTAAGTAAGATCATGATCTTTACTAGGAACACAAAAGGCACTAAATCCCAGGAATGGCTCACATACATACACCCAATCTATAAGCATTGATGTATGGTCACAAAAATATGTAATTATTAAACATTTTCCACATGTTTAAGAACCACTGCAAATGTGCATCTAAAAGATGGGAATTTGGTTGAAGGAAAAATGCCATCTGTTAAAAAATACCCATTATGGTGTGACTGCACATGTGCATTGGCTGGTCTAGCGATATTTTTGATGAAATCCGAGCGCTTTCTGGCCCTCCATAGACAGCAATGCTGAAATGTTTCCAGACCCAGAAAGGTAGTAAGGACATTGTTAAAATGGTCCATGTGCAATCAGTGGTTCAACTGCAGTTTAACAAAGCTACAAGTATAGTTTTTGTGCACAAAAATAATGACTTTATTCAAAAATTCTTCTCCAAATCTCGCCATTATCGAGAGTACCTCTGCACGTAAACAAGGCATGTGCGTGGGGCTGCTGATGTAGAACACGCAAACCCTGCACTTTGTTTATGTGCAGAGGAATGCACACACATTCGTCGTGGTTGCTGTCTATGGAGGGTCAGAGAGCTCTCGGATTTCATCAAAAATATCTTGTGTGTTTTGTTCTTCAAATGTGTTTTGAAGATGATCGAAAGTCTTACGGGTTTGGAACGACATGAGGGTGAGTAATTAATGACAGAATTTTCATTTTTGGGTGAACTATTCCTTTAATCCTGGTAAAGAAGTGAGAATCTTGTCCTAATATAAATACATGTTAAGGTGAAAGCCCCTACAGGCAGTGAGGTGTCATTACATGATACTGAAGGACTTGGGGCAAAGCTCGTCCTATTGTATGTCAAATAGTTTAAAATTGAGAAGAGTGGGATTTCTTTTTTACGGTGGACAAGGTGGATATTCTGATCTAAAATTAGCCACTGCACCATGTCTAAGCAAAAAGATTGTAATTTTAAAAACTTTTTTCATATTTCTATATTTTTCTATATTTCTACATATTGAGGTTCACCACATCCAATTTTTTAGGATTAAAAAGTTAAAATAGACAGTAAAAAAAAGGGATATCTTCTATGACAGTTTGACAGATCACATTTGATTTCCCCAGCTTTCATTTGAAGGGAAAGTTGTCAAAAAATAACAGTAACGGGTGAATCATGTATAGTAAGAGATGTACAGTATTTATCATGAAATTGGGATACGCAAGCTTGGGGACATAAGAAAAATAGTCATATGTGGTGGTTCAAATGCTGTAAAATGTCTCCAACAATTATTTTCTTTAAACCTACTTCAATATGCTTAGAGTTTAAATGGTGTTGATTTGTTTGACTAAGAGAGCTTTATAATGGCTATTGTTCAAAAGTTTAATTAAGTAAGATCATGATCTTTACTAGGAACACAAAAGGCACTAAATCCCAGGAATGGCTCACATACATACACCCAATCTATAAGCATTGATGTATGGTCACAAAAATATGTAATTATTAAACATTTTCCACATGTTTAAGAACCACTGCAAATGTGCATCTAAAAGATGGGAATTTGGTTGAAGGAAAAATGCCATCTGTTAAAAAATACCCATTATGGTGTGACTGCACATGTGCATTGGCTGGTCTAGCCTAAAAAATAAGCTTTTTTAAATTCTATTTGAGCATAAGGAACAACATTCACAGGGCAGTTCATTTCAGATTTTGTTGCTGATTTGAAATATGTAATTTAATTGTGAGTTCACCAGGCAGGTTTTAAGATTTCAGAATTCACCATTCATTTAGATAGGACTTGGTCTTGGATACCCAAAATAGCTGCCCAAAATAGCTACCCGGAGGCATGGCAAATATGGCCACCGAGTCAACAGACTTTCTTTGAAAGGGACTTTGGTTGAGCTAATGTAAGTATGTTGTTTTTGCCCTTTTCTTCTGTGAACCATGACAAACATATTTAGAGGGTCGATTGCATGTACCACTGTGTGAATGAAGTTTAGATTTGTCTCATGCTCCTAACATTTCTATAGCATTAGCAAATGATTAGTTGTAAGTTAAATGGGTTCCATTAGATTTTGTGTATTCAGCTCGCTAAATCAAATATGGCTTTCCATTATTTGTATGAATTAGACGTGGAAGGAGGTAAAGTTAGTCTGACCCTGCTATGCAACATGAAGTGATATGTTCATTTAGAGAATATAGCGAGATATAGCTAAATCAAATCATATCATGTTGTAGACATTCCATGTACACAACTGATCAAAGTATTTTTTTCTATGAACATTTTATTTCCATTCCTGCAGGTTACACAGAAAGCAAGAATGAGACACATCCTGTAAAAACCTCTTTAAACTAAGACTATTCAAAGCAAAAAAGTATTTCAGGTTTGTTTCATGTGACCTTTTTATTTGTGACAACTTACTACTATACTATTAAATAAACTTACACCCTGGCAGTATAAAACCATTCAAATAGATATGGCTCAAATATAGTAAGCTATTTTTCTTTGTTTCAGCACTGATGGCACAAAAACTTTGAAACGCGCTTCTTGAATATTCCTCACAGAATGGGTGAGTATTTATAATTAGAAAAAGTCTTCAAAAAAGATAATTCTTATGAATTTATAACCATAGAGCATATTCTGTAGTTTCAGTTCAGGGTACATGGTAATATTGTTCTTTTAATTAGCCTTTGTAACACTTTACATGTACATTTGCCTTGTGAGAGCCCATTTCCTATACTCATAAATAATTTAGGACAATTACATTCCATACCTTGTTCAGACTGGAATGAAGAGCACGTCAGCTCATGGTTACAGGCTATTGGGATTAAACCAGAGCACATATGGAAACTTAAGGCAGAAGAGGTAACAGGACCTGTTCTTCTAAATATTAATGAATCATACTTAAAAAAACTTGGTCTGGGAGGTGGCCAAATTCAGCTCTTGCTGAGTAAAAGAGATGAACTGTTACTACTGGACAAGTCAAAAACCATTAAAAAGAGAGGAGAGAACAGAGAAGAAGCAAAACATGAAGTTGTGTCTTCCAGTGACGTCACAAGTCCTGAACAACCCTTATTATCAAGTGATTTAACTGAAACATCTGTGTCTTTGCCACAGAGTAGGTATCGGAAATTGAATGATAATGATGAACATTTCAGTTACATAAAACATGCCATACTCCCACCAGAGACAGGAATAGACAATCTGATCACCCCATGCCATGAGTATAAATCACTGGAAAATGCCTGTAAATTAGAACCAAGAAAGCTAAAGATCAAATTTGCCAGTGAAGTCATTCGATTTGCATGTGCGTGCATGAATATGCGTGCAAATGGCACAATCCACTTTGGGGTCATGGACAAGACAAAAACATCATACAAACATGGAGAGATAATTGGAATTCCCATTGAAGACAAAGAGATCTTTCAAGAAGCTCTAGACTACATTGAAAAATGTTTTCCAGCACTGCACTCTGATGCCAGAAAGTGTATCAAGACCCCAAAATTTATTCCAATAGTTGACAAAGGCAGTCAGACCCAAAACTGGATTGTGGAAGTGGATGTAGTTCCCATGGTGAACATTGTGAGGGATAAACTGTATAGTGCCCATATACCAAAGTTCAACGAGAAAACCAATAAAATTGAATATGAGCAAAAAGCTTATTATCAAAGAGTTGGACCAAATACGCCACGTATTACTGAGGATGAACTTGTCAGTTTCAGTCAAGCTCTCAAAGATCTCGACCAAAAAAGAGAACAGGAAGAAAACAGCCAGAATCAAACACAGGCTCATTTTAAAGAGGACTTGGAAAGAAAACTCTTAGTTCTTCTGACACGTGGGAAGAAATACATGGACAATACATTGCGTTACATCCTTGTGTCAAATAGATTTGATCAAGAAAACCTGCAAAACATCAAGTTCCTTGTTCAAATGAATATCTTTTGTGTTTTTGATTATGACCCTGACTCCAAATCATCTGGACTTTGTCACAATTACAAAGAGCACCATGCAGTAAACCTTCACTTCCTGCATGATTATGATCATAGGGAGAACACTGTTGACTTAATCAAGAAGTTACAGCTCTTTGACAGAACAAGCTGGATTTTCTGCAATGGTCGAAGTGATTACAATGGAGGTGAGAGTCCATGTGATGAAAAAACCTGGATCAAAACCAAGAAGAAACTGTTGAAAAGATCTGTATCTGTTATCTGCAATGAAATTCTTCCCAAAGGATCATTTGTGGTGCTTTTCATTCACACACACATCACATTACAATTCAAGTCCATCAGCTCACCTGTCATCAGGATGGGTGTCTACCTGTGTCAAACAATGGAGTATGCTTTATAAAGTCTGTGGATGTGGAGTGTATGAACTCCTTAGAAGTTGTCTGTGTTGACCAGTGTGACGAAACATCACATCTGACGTTGAACAACCCCTTGTTGAAACCTTCCATGAATTCTATGCAGAAATGAGCGGCCATGAGGACATAGTCATCATCTCAGTGTCAAGGGAGATTTATAAGAAATGGTCAAGCCTTGCCCAAGTGTCCTGCTTACTAGACATTCTTGAACAAATCAGTGTTGTTGGTATGCCAATGAGTCACATAAATGCTACAATTCAAGTCCATCAGCTCACCTGTCATCAGGATGGGTGTCTACCTGTGTCAAACAATGGAGTATGCTTTATAAAGTCTGTGGATGTGGAGCGTATGAACTCCTTAGAAGTTGTCTGTGTTGACCAGTGTGACGAAACAAATGTGGATCTCATGGAGCAAGAGCAAATACAGAAAATTGAACAATACTTCTATCAGGGAGGAAAAATTGATTGGGTGAATATGTGGCTAGCTGACAATAATAAATGTGAGGAAGTCATCAAACGTGATGCATATGCAGAAATTAGCAAAATGTTGGAAGACCTTGAGCGGAGTGACTCATTAAAACGGTCCATTGAAAACATCAACATATATCATGAACCTGGTAGTGGAGGAAGCACAGTGGCTCGACAGATCCTCTGGAACTGGAGGAAAAAAATGCGATGTGCTGTTGTTAAGCAGTCGTACCAGGCCACGACTGTCTGTGAACATGCAGTACAGATTTGGAATTACGAGGAAGTTGACAAGAATGCCTGTTTACCTGTTCTTCTGCTGCTAGAGGATTGCAATGCAGACTATCAGGATGACCTCAGACGAGAATTAAGCAATGCAGTCACAACAATGAAAATAAGTCCATCAAAACTGTGTTTCATCATTCTCTGTTGTAAAAGGTCTCTTGATCCAGAAAGGATGTGCACAGCATTGCCGTTACGCACAGTCGGAGTTACACACAAACTATCTCCAGCAGAAAAGAAGCTCTTCTCAAAGAAAGCAGGGAGTCTCAAGCTGAAGTTTGAACCAGAGTTTATACTCACTTTTGTGCTCATGAGTAAAGAGTTTGAACAGTCTTACATCACAGGCTTTGTTGAAAACCTGCTGAAGGAAATTGATCATTCATCTCTTCAGACACAGTTGATCAAATTTGTGGCACTACTGAACAGCCACATTGAGAATTCATACCTATCTATATCACACTGTGAGGCATTCCTAGGTTTAGGAATCCACTTGGACAAATTTGATAAAATGGCCAAACCGTCAACGTCCACATGGATTGATGAAGTTCGACACCAGACATTCGAAAATTCTTTAAGTGAGCAGGCTAGGTATTTTTTTATACAGCTAAAATCCAGTGAGACGCATATCTCCTCTGTAAGAATAATTCATAATTTGATAGCTAAGGAGATCCTGAAGCAGCTCTCCAGTTATCAGAGCCAAAGTGAAATAGCAATGAGTCTGCTTCAGGACAAAGTGCTGTTTGACCACAGATTTGGAAGGGATGACTTTCGAAAGTTTGTCAGAGATCTGTTCATCAAACGCACCAAAAAAAGCAAGGGAGATCCAAATGACAGCTGGTTTTCTCCTTTAATAGAGCATGTTAGGGAGACAGAAGATGTGGAGAAAGCCATTGACCTTTTAAAGCTAGCTTACACCAGTTTTGATGAGGATGCATTTGTTGCTCAACAGCTTGCACGACTGCTTAATGAAAACAAAAATTTTGAGGAAGCTGAGATTTGGGCTAAAAGAGCCAAGTCTCATCTTCCTCAGCACATATACATACTTGACACACTGGGACAAGTATACAAAAAGTGGTTCTACAGCAAACATGATGCCATATGTAAGAAAAATGCTGATATTCAACCAGAGGACATCACTGATATCATTGATACTGCCCTTAAAGGAATCACTGCTTTTAGAGAATCTGAAAAATGCCCCCAGTCAAAGATGGTCTGCTTAAATAATTCTTATTTTGGAGAAGTTGATATTGGATGCCGATTGCTTGAGCTCCTGTCAAATGTAGACATTTTTTCTACCAAAGAGGGAAAGAGGGAGTTGATGGATTACCTGCTCACTGACTACATACCAGAGGAAGTACAGAAACCTTGGCAAAGGTTTCATGGCCTTTTAAAAGGAATGAAAGACAGCATCAGAATTGCCCTAGAATGTATTTCTGACGATCTTGCTCACTTTCAGAATTTCACTTCTGAGGAAGAGGAGGAGTTGGCTGAAGGAGAGCCTGAAACAGTCAATAATCCAAGAAAATGGCTCCTCAGGAAAAGTGCTGTGTATGCCAAGTTATTTTTTCATGACATTCAAGAGGATGAGGCTTCTGATGCAAACATAGTTTCCCCATTAATGAGACAAATGAAAATTTTCCAACTTGGAGGTGGTAATGTTACAACAATTCTTTACCTGCTCTCTGATAATAATAAGCAAAGAGCTGGAGCAAAGCTTGAGAAAATAATTGACCTATTTCCAGTTAACCTAAAAAAGGATCTCGACCAAACAGGGCTTATAAACTTCATCTTCTGTCAGATAGCACTCTCCTGTGCTTCACCTGGCTCTGGAAAACTTCATTCTATTGAAGAACTTCAAAATATCAGCAGACGGTTTTGCAGTGAAAAGAGAACTGCTTTACCAGATACTGCATATTTGCTTCTTTCAATCTTATTTTGGCCAGAGGACTCTATGGGCAAAGAGCCCTCCAATACAAGAAGTGACATTGTCATGAATGCAATAAAAGCACTTCAAAGATACTCTGAGATTAAATCTGCTTCCTCGAGAAAAGGCAGGATTTTCACTCACTTCTTCCTTGGAAAAGCAAGGGGTCTCAATAAAATAGTGCACAAGACCACAATTGAAAAATTCTGCAAGGGAACCCTCAGTGAGAGACGCCTTAAGTGGCAAGGCGGTGAAGTGTGGACAAACCCAGATGTTGTAAAAGTGCTTAAACGAGTTACTGGATACACTGAAAATGGAAATCTGTTTGTTCGGGTATCTGATCAAAGCAACATCAGAGTCATTCCACTTTTTTCTGCCTCCTTGCCAAATTCAAATGAGAATGTGGCTTTCTACCTAGGATTTTCTCTTCATGGAGTGGTAGCTTTTGACATCAAGGTGGCAGAGTGAAACCATGCTTGAAACCGCAATTGAGAGTTTCCCAAAAGATGAGTTTATAAATATATTCAAACATACCAATCAAATGATAAAAAGGATCATTATAAGCAAGCTGCATGATATGAATTATGTGTATTGAATAATGTGCATCTGAACTTGTTTTGAATTTTTATCTTAATGGTGTTTTTTTTTTGGTTACACTTTACTTGAAGGGGTGTGCATAAGACTGACATGACACCTTCATAATCATGACATGACACCTACATAATCATGACATGACACATGTCATGAATATGAAGGGGTTTTTATGCATGTTTATGACAACTGTCATTAAGTGTCATTCACTCAGTTATGTAATTTTTAATGCAAAAATGACATTGTTTGAGATGTCTTTGTTATGGGCTATGGTTAGGGGTAAGGGTAGGGGTAGGGGTAGGGTTAGGTCAAATAATGTCATATTTGCATTAAAAATGACATAACTGAGTGAATGACACTTAATGACAGTTGTCATAAACATGCATAAAAACCCCTTCATATTCATGACATGTGTCATGTCATGATTATGTAGGTGTCATGTCATGATTATGAAGGTGTCATGTCAGTCTTATGGTGGATTAATTAAAACAGAATAAAACTTTTTTTTTTACACCAGTAGTGTCTCATAAAACAGTTTTGAGAGAATATTATTTAATGTTAAAAATCTTTATTTAGAATCAAACATTGCAGTGGTGGTCGTGTATACAGCAGATGGATTATAACGTTATTTTATTGGTATGTTAAATCATATTTTTTCAAGACATGAATTTCTTTTTTTTCTTGCTTTAATTTGTTGGTACATATCATAACAAAGTTCATATAAGTATAAGATATATTGTTATTTAGTGACATTTCCTTGATTAGATTCAAAATGCAGATGTTTGGCAAAAATATTTAGTTTTTTTGGGTGGTGACTTTCAGTAAAATCTAATGTATATATAAATTTACATTTTAGAAATAGTTGTAGAAATATGCATAATATTGTATATTATATACAGATTAGGTTTACCATGGTGAAGTTGTTCCGGTTTGCGATCCTGTGTTGTCCTGTGATGCATTGAATTTGGTAATAAATTGTGTCTATTTATATTGTATAAATTAACTAAGCCTTCTACTTAATCTGTCTGAACTCCTGTTAAAGTAACACCAGCCCCAGCACCTATGTATTGCCCTCTTGAGGTAATGATGTAACATCACAACAATCTACAAATGGTTACAGAAAATACTACAGGTATTTGACAGGCAGAATCTTGCATTAGATGTTTAAGTGGATTAATTAAAACAGAATAAAAACTACATCTTTGCCTGTGTTAATTCACAATGTGTTATTTTAATTCTTGCATGAATTCAAGAATCAAGGTTAAATTAACAGCGAGTCAAAGCACAGAGGTGAACATTTCTCACAAGTTCACACAAATGAAATGTTCCTGGAAAAAATTACTCACAGTACAGTCATGTCAAATCTAAGCAAGAAGATAAACCATACATTATAATAATTATACACATTATCACCATTTACAGCTGGGTCAATATATACATGATGTTTAAGGAATAGGTTTCACACAATTCTGTTCTTTTTAAACACTACATTTACAACCAAGTTTATGCTTATCAGACGTTTTGTTTGTCTTTGGTAAGAAAAATTCTGAAATAGCAAACAAGAACATAAATCAAAGGAATTGTAAAGTGAAAAAGAATAGAATATTATCAAATTAAGCACTTTACCACAAAAAAACAACAACTAAAAAAACGGATAAAACGGACAATGCAAGTCATAGTATGGTAGATCATAGCGGAGTGTTAATAGGATATTTGCTTACGCAGAGCTTCATGATTATGCGACTAGCTTTCTAATTCGGTTTGCTATTTCTGTAAATCTAGGACTGCTAGTTTTAAAAATCACACATCTTCAAAACAATGACTGCTGCACAATAGAGACTATATCCTAGAATCAGTTGTCACATATAAACAGTACTGTGTTAATGTATACATATTATTGAGAAAAATTATTTAAAGTTTAATCACATGTATTTTCACTGGTCCATTTAATAGAATCCATTTAGTTTATCATTTTTATGCACCCAAATCAACATACAGCAGCACATCATAGCATAATCTTTTTCAACCTTCTCTGCTGAACCTCTACACACACAAAGATGGACTATACTTAGTGTTTCAATTCAAGTTTGTTGAAGTTAAAATGCAAACCACACTGTTATGATTATGGCTGTTAAATAGGAATTCTGGGCAGCCGCCTCCAAGGTGCTCCCAGACAGGTGAGTGTATGCACAGTAACACTGTGGTGTCAGTACAGTGTGCCCTGAGCGTGCTCCCCGAGGAACTCCTCCAGCACATTTATGATGCCACAGGCCTCAGGAAGGCTGCTGTGCTCGGCCCGCGCGTTCTGCAGCAGCACATCCCCGTTTCCACAGCTCTGCAGGAACAGACAGCAGCGAAACAGAGCGTAGTGGCTCATTTCTGCCTGACGGATGAAGCGCTTCAGGTTGTTCATGTCCTGAATGGCCTGCATGGAGAAACAATGTGCATTTTGAAGACAGTCACAATGAGGTAACTGGCATTTCTGAATGTGACCACTCAAGTCAGTTCGATACTATACAGAAAAGATTGTTAATACTAGTTAATACTTTTTTTAAACACTTTTGAAAAACTTTAAATGTAAGTTAATACTTTTTAATATAATACTTTAAAAGTTAAGAATTCCTTTTTTGACGTAACATTTGACATATCCTCATTCATTTATATTGTGAGCAGATGTTTACAACATACTAGATTTAGATAATAATTAAATCAAGGCACAGATTACCAGCAACAAATACAAGTGTTATATGCGAGATCTGGAAACCAGAGAGCAGACAGTTACCAGCAACACTCCAAAAAAATTTTTTTGACCCCCCAAAATTAGAAAGTAACTCAAATTAATCTAATGCATTTAAATGGGTAGTCATCCTCATGTCATTCCGAACCTGTATGATTTCTTCCCTCCCTGAAACACAAAAGAAATTTTGAAGAATGTTGGTAATAAACAATTTCAGTTACCACTATCTTCCATTGTATGGACAAAAAAATTAAAATAAAACAAAAAATACAACAGAAGTCAACATCAAACAAATCATGTTTAGTTATCAGCATTCTCCAAAATATCTTCTTTCGTGTTCTGCAGAAGAAAGAAATGCATACAGGTTTGGAACGACACGAGTGCGAGTAAATGATAACAGAACTTTGAATTTTTGTGTGAACTAACCCTTTAACTGTTAGCTACCAATAGTATGTTAGTATGCTAAACGTTACTTTTTCAGAAATGCTATCTTAATGGCAAAGAAAATTATTGATGGGAGGAAACGTCTGTTTTATAAGTGTATTATTACACACTTTTTAAATTATAAGCAAGTATAAAAATATAGGTGAGCAAGCAACAAAAAATCAGTGACTCCCATACAAATGTTAAATGTTTTGTCTGGATACCAGGTTACTATTATACACAGAAAGCTTCAGAAGCAAATTAACCTTAAGTTTAAAGTTCTCCAGGATTTGGCGGAGAAGGAAAGGGTTAAAGCGCTCCGCAGCATTGAGGAAGGCCTGGATCCAGTCATCGCAGAACCGGTTACTGACTGCAGAGATATCAACACAACATTATCAAAATAAGACATTTGTAAAATGACAACATCTGTACATTTAGTGGACTGATGCTGCTGCTGACCTTCGTTGGTGAGTGTAGGTGGGCTGGTGGAGCAGTCGATGATCAGACTGCTGTGAGAGTCCTCTGAAATGGCCTTACAGAGGGAGGCTTCCTGAATTAGACCCTGCAGGCTTGCTGCTTTGATAAATCTAATAAGACAATTAATCAAGTTGTAATGGCTATCAGTTTTTAAACCCATAAAAATGTAGCAGCTATTAAGATAAAGTTGTTTCGCTTACCTTGCTATATCTGCTTTTGTCTTCTCATCTGCCCCTGTGACTTCGAAAAGCTTGTGACTCAAAGCCTGGAGCAGAGAAGTACTTCATTTACCATTTCACATAATACAGTATGTTACTGCTTTCAAATATGACTCTATAAAACGTATCTGATCTAGACAGCAGTGGTTTCTTACAGCATGCAGAAGGTACCCGATGTTTGCCTGCACCAGTTGAACCACTCTATGAATGTGCATAACTGACTCTTCATACCAGCGGATCACGTAGGGCCTGACTTCTGTCTCCAAATTCTGCATCTGTAGCCAGAGGTTGCCAACAATATTTACAGCAAACGGATATAAAAAGCAGCGTGCTTGCAGATATATCTTCAAAAAACTGGACAGATTTCAACATGTACATTATTTCCATTGTCAGTGGCAAAAACTGTCCTCACCTCTGGAGTTAAACAACCCTGCAGACCCTGGACGTACTTGTCCAGCTCAATTCTAAACGTTTGTAGAGTTAAAGAAAATGTGTTAAATATCCTATTAAGAGAACAGCATGCTTGAATACAATGGTAATTTGATAACATTCCATTCTTCAGTGCACAATGCAGTATTTCCTACAGTTTAATGGTCAGTCATTTGTGATTTAAGGATATAGATTCAGGCCCTTCTCTGATCCTCCGAGAAGACACACCACCCAGCCGTTGCCATCGGCCTCAGGCTGTTCTGGAGATTTCTCCTGCTCCAGCAGACAGCAGTAACAGCCCACCGCTTGCTCAGGGATGCTTGAACACAAACAAACATCGAATCCATTGTAATATTGTTCTGAATGACAATGAGATATGGTTTAGCTATTTGTGACCCTGGACCACAAAACCAGTCATAAGGGTCAATTTTTTGAAATTGAAATTTATACATCACATGAAAGTTGAATAAATGGTTTGTTAAGATATGACAATATCTGGCTGAAATATAACTATTTGAAAATCTGAAATCTGAGGGTGCAAAAATATCAAAATATTGACAAAATCGCCTCTAAAGTTGTCGAAATGAAGTTCT